GTTCACAGGATTCTTAAAAGGGTTATTGCCAAATGCATTAGGTTTGTTAGGTTTATGATAACGAAGTTGATAATGATAAGAAAATTGATATACATATATAGACATAAACACACACACACACACATATATATGTGTGTGTATGTGTGCACACATACACACTCACGTACACACATACACACACGCACACATGCATATATATATATATGTATGTGTGTGAATATATATATATAGAGAGAGAAAGAGAGAGGGATAGAGAGAGAGAGATATGCACATACACAGACTTTGCTATCTACAGATATGTCAGATACAGATAGTTAGCTGGCTACACACATAATACACATAATGTGGACATGTTTTTTTCTTCTTCTTCTTTTAGGAATAATCTATTCATGTAATATAATATATTCATGAGATTTATGACACACACGTACTTACTTTTGAATTTCGCACAAGCAAAGATTTTTTTTTTTTTTTTTTTTTCTCCTCTCTCTCTCTTTTTTTTTTTTTTTTTTTTTTTTTTTTTTTTTTTTGTGTGTGTGTGTGTGTGTGTGTGTGTGCCCCCGCAATGAGTAATAAACGAAATATCTTAACTAATGTCAAAAAAGCTGGGGTGCGAGGCGCCTGAAATAACGCGAGCATTTTCATTTCTTACAACGTATTTTTAAAGGCCACACTTAGCTCGCAGGCTGCTGTGCATAATTCCGGGTTAAGTTAAATATTTCGGAAAAAGATTAAATGCTTCGGAGGTAAAAAGGGTTTGTCTTGAATCGCGAGGTATAATTTATGGGTTCTTGATAAATGCAACGCTTAAGTATGATTCTTAGGTTTGTGATGTCAATTAATCTGTCAGGTGTTTGATAATGTAATTGTATCATAGGTGACATGGATCTTGCTGAAAATGCATATAAGATATAGGACAAGGGAGTTATGATTTATCCCTCTCTCTCTCTCTCTCTCTCTCTCTCTCTCTCTCTCTCTCTATATATATATATATATATATATATATATATATATATATATATATATATATATATATATATATATATATATATATATATATATAATATATATATATATATATATATATATATTTTCTTTTTCTTCTTTTCTTTTTTACACACCCTAATTGAATCCCCAATGAAAGTGAAAGTTAACAAAATCTCGAGAACTATTTATTAACATCGTGGCAGTCTGACGAAATTTAAACAAAAAGTGTAAATTCCAGCGCCTTGCATTCACAGCAAGAAGAAAAATCTTCGTTATTTCTCTTTGTCTTGAAGCATTATGATCAGCATCTTGTGCCATAACTCTTTCTTCCTCCACGATTGTGGGAACTTCAGAATTATCACTGTATATATCTCAACTGAATGCAATTGTTCCAGTCCTTATCAGACAGGTTATGTTATGGGGAATGTTGCAGAAAGCATTGCCGAACTTAAATCATTTTCCAGCACACACATTCACACAAAGAAACACAAACTATTACCTAAACAAAAACAGACACAAATCGACAAACAAGCCCACAGCTTACGTCTGTCTGTCCATCAGCGTGTGCCTGTGATCTCACTGAGGATAATTGTGATTCTGGTAATACTGTAGAGTACAACATTAATGACTCTGAAATCAAAGCCACAGCCAATAAGACTGTGTAAACAAGCGAGCTCTACTGCAAGGCCAGCGAGCCCACAAAGTCCCCTGGACCGCGAGGGAAATCAACACGCAACAGCGGAAAAGGACGGAGAGAAAGAAGGAGGGAGAGAGAAGAGAAGAGGGGAGAAGGCGGGAAAAACAAAGGACCAAAAGAGACGAAGGAACGAAGAGGAATCCAAACAGCTCTTTGATATGTCCCCGACGGTGCGCTGTCCCTGAGGAGTTTGTTAATGGCCGAGCTCTATGCTGACATGATCTGGAGGGGTAATTGTTGCATGTGTAGAGGCCTGGAAAACCGGAGGTAATGTGCTTATGCGAGGGCCCTAGATGGTGTGGATGTGAGGGTCCTGCGTGATGGCGCGTGGATGTGGATGTGAGTCCTAGCGTGGATTGCGATGGATGTGGATGGCGTGGATGCGATGGGCCCGTGGATGCGCGTGGATCGAGGGGATGTATGTGGATTGGAAGGCGTGGATGTGAGGTCCAGCGTGGATGGCGTGGATGCGAGGGTCCTAGCGTGGATGGCGTGGATGTGAGGGTTCTAGCGTGGATGTGAAGGTCCTAGCGTGGATGGCGTGGATGTGAGGGGTCCTGGCGTGGATGGATGTGACTAGCGTGGATGGCGTTAGCGTGGATGCGAGTCCTAGCATGGATGGCGTGGATGTGATGGTCCTAGCGTGGATGGTGTGGATGCGATGTGCTTATGCGAGGGCTCTAGCGTGGATGTCGTGGATGCGAGGGTCCCAGCGTGATGGCGTGAATGTTGTCCGGCGTGATGGCGTGGATGGCGCGTGGGAAACGAACTCGCCATAGGTTCCAGGAGGTTTGTGCGGACGGCGAAGCGTGAAATGAAAGCCGGTATTAAATTAGCATGAAAGGAGT